ATATAATCCTGTGGGGTTATTGTGAGGATCAATCAGGATATTGGTAGAGGGGAGGAACCTCTAGATAAGTGCACAGGTGCTGTGTGACTCAAACATTCTTTGTTTTAGCTGTTAGCATTGCGCTGTGTGTGTGTGGTTGTGTGTATGTATGTGTGTGTGTATGTTCATTATGATGCTGAAGAGTTTGACCCAAGTTACTGAAAAATGGCATTCTAGAGGTATCACAAAACTAGCCAGCAAGGGTAACCTCCTAGATAAAAAGTTCATAGAGGTCCTACTTTCATTTAGTGGATATTATTTTAAAAAATCACCATGGAATAAGGAAATAAACTACTTTGAAATAACAAAGCAAAGAGTGTAGCCTGAAAAAATCATGCCCAGAGGTAGGTCAACATTTGATGAGAAAAGAAACAGTCATGCCATGTAGCTTGTTGGGCAGAGCAGCAGAGTGGATCCAAAGCTCATCCATGGTGGCACAGCCAAGCCTGCAATCATCCAGCGTGGTCATTTCCCTGTCCCTCCTCCCTCCCTCCCTGTGCCCTTTCTTCTCTTCCATGTCTCTCTGGCTCGCTCCCCATTCTCCCTTTCTCTTTCCTCTCACCCTTTCTTCTCTCTACTCTCCATCTTTTCTTCCTTCTCTCTCTTGCTGTCTCTCTCCCTCTCTTCATTTCCTACACCCCTCTTCTTTCACTCCAAAGTCTTTTATCTCCCTTCTCTTTTTTCCTTTACCTTCTCTTTTCTCCCCTTCCTTTACCTTCCCACCCACCCCTCACGAATTTGGTAACATTTCTGATTTATTGGACAAAAGATCCAGATATTCCACTAAAATCAGCGGCCGCAGAGCAGGCAGAAATGTAGCATGTCTGTTCACAGAGCTCTGAGCTCTGCCAAATCTCCAGTGTGGGAAGGCGGTGGCCTGCATGGTCCCATGAACCAGACATGGTCTCAACAGTTCTGAAAAGCTTCATTTTTGTCTGTGCTGTGAATCTTTTCACCTGAGACTTACAGTGTTCTTCAGGATAGTATGTATGTAAGCCCATGAATGAGAGATTCCTAGGGACCCCAAAATGTTAAGGGGTATATGCTCTGAAAGAGGATCCAGCCATCCACATACACGAAGGCATGGAAAGCAGGCTGTTAGTGTGAACTCTCTTTAATAGGAATGGTGTACATAGAGAAGTAAAAAAGGATTTCAAGTAAAACCTTGAAGGTTACCCATCCACACATGTTCAAACATCCCTGTTCATCCGCACATGTTCAACCATCCTATTTCAAATAGTTAATTTCAATCAGAATATTTTTCTGGGGTAGTACATTTATTATGATATGTTTATCTACTATATTTTTCCTGTTCAGTGCCAACCTGACTCTGATATTTTGGAGTATCTTTTTATGGAATGGATAACTTTGGTAATGAATTAGTTCTTAGCACCAGAATCTTAAATCCATTCCCAACTTTTAGAATCAATCACCTTATACACCTGTGCTTTCAAAAGACTTACCCTGTGGGGCCTCCCCAGTGGCGTAGCGGTTGAGCGCTGGGTTGCGAAGCTGCCCGCAGCCTCTGCAGCACCGGTTCGATCCCCGGCTGCTCCCCGGCCACTGGAGGAGGGTCCCACATGGCGTGCAGACCTCTCCTGCCGCCCGCCGCTCCCCCCAGCAGTGTACTTCAGTCTGCCTGCTCTGCTCCCCGCTCTGGCTCTGGTGAATTATCTCACCCTCCCGCGCTTCTGACTGTACCCAGTGCTTAAATAAATAAATAAATAAATAAATAAATCTTTAAAAACAAAAACTTACCCTGTGTAGGGCAGAAGAACTAAACTCTACATACAGTTAACATGATGTGTATTGGTTAGCATATATGTATTAAAAAAGCAAATATATTTTCCTCTTAGCAAACTTTGTGCTGCTAAGATCATTTTAATATCATTAATTTTTTCTCCTTTATGTTGCTTAAATAATCACTAGTGGGATTCTGGCAGCCATCTCTTAATGCTGGCTTTATTTTGTCCTCTTTTTTTTCTACAAGTCACCTAAATTTTTTTTCCTCCCTTATGGGACATCCCAAAATTCTTATCAACTAAATGTGTCATAATTTTTTTTGATTTTTGCTTGTCTGAATGGGTGGGAGTTACAGTGTTTTCACAGTGTTGCCTAAATTTGCATTTCCTTATTATGAATAAGGTTAAATACATTTTACTATATTTAAAAGCCATTTGTATTTGCTTTCCTGTGAATTGTCTTTTCATATTCTTTGCCTATTTTTCTTTTTGCCTATTCTGTATTAAAATAACATCTAAAAATTATTCTACTTTTTCTATCATTTTATTGATGATTTTCTTAGCAATTGGTAGCTCTTTACATGGGAAGGTTATGGACTATTTGTGATATAAATTGGGAATATATACTTTTTAGTTTACCATTTGATTTTTTACTATGCTTATGTAATAGTTTTATTTTGTTGCCATGCCAAAGATTTAAATTTATGTAGTTGAATGTATCCATTTTCTTATACTTTCTAAATATTATATAATTAAAAGGAATTTTCCCCATTCTGAGTTCATAAAATAATTTTTCTATGTTTTCTTCTATTGTCTTCCTTTTTATTTCAAATAGTTAATTCAATCAGAATATTTTTTCTGGGGTAGTACATTTATTATGAGGTGTTTATCTACTATATTTTTCCTGTTCAACTTCCCAGTTATACTTATTTCTTGATATTACTTAAAACCCATCTTGTGATTATGCAAAAAGTCCATCTTTGGGAGACTTCCACTCCTGGAAAAATGTAATAGATGTATGTTTCCCCACCCTTCCTCTTATGCACAACTAAAAATCTTGGGTGTTATTTGTAAAACAAACATGAGAAGACTCCGAGAACTGGAGAGAAGACAACTAGGCAACAAAGAACTCAGTGGTGAGTCCTCTTAAAACAGACTTGGAATTAAAAAGCAGGAAACTCAAAAGTGCCAATAAGTACACACAAGAAAAGCCCACTCTCTAACCAAATGACCAGCTAAGGGGTGGTTTTGCAAAACAGAAATGTTTAAACAGTAAGCCTTCTGCTCTAGCCAACACCACTACCACTTACTGCAACAAAGACTGAGGCTCCCAGTGTGCTTCTTCACCATGACTCCTGGATCAGAGGAGGCCCACTGGAGCAGCAGGAATTTCACCTTCACCCAGCAATGAGGAATTCACCCCTCCTCTGTGTCAGTGGAAGCCATGAGAGGAATAATAGTGGGACACTTCTACCCCTCCCAGCCACGGTAGTTTCAGCAGAGGCTTAATATGAAACCAGAACTTCTCTAACACCCCCAGTAATAATTAAGCCCTTCTACTGTTCATTGGGTACTTGCACTTCCACCTATGCCAGCAGTGAAGGCTTCTCCCATTCCCATGCTTGACTTCTATTGGCGGATACTATCCAAAACAGAAGAGTTAAATAAGACCTAGAGTCACATCAATAAAACCAAAATGTTTGACTTTCAATTTAAAAGTCACCTGTGATACCAAGGACCAGGAAAATCTCAACTCGAATGCAAGAGGACCATCTATAGTGAATATTGAGATGACAGTGATGTTAAACTTCAAGAAGTAATCAGGAATATTCTAAAAGCAAATTATAAAGTAGAAAGAGCAAATAGAAAGTATTTCAAAAAGAAGATGTAAAGAAGAGACAAGTGAGAATGATAGAACTGAAAAATATAAGAACTAAAATTAAAAATACAGTTAATGGGAGCAACAGTAGAAGGTGGAAAGCAAATTTGAATAGAGAACCATGGAAATTACTCAGTCTGAACAACAGAGAGAAAAATAGATTGAAAATATATTGACAGAGCCTGAAGGAATAGAGTGAGATTATCGTAAAAGGGCTATCCTGTCTTAAAACTAAACAAATGGAGAGAAAAGGTCTGAGAAAATACTATAAGAAATTAGAGATGAAGGGCCTCCCAGATGGTGCAGGTGGTTGAGCTCAGCACTGTGAAGCTGTCCGCAGCCTTTGCAGGGCCGGTTCTATCCCCGCCAGCTGCGGAGCAACCCACATGGCGCGGCAGACCTCTCCCGTCTTGCGCGCTGCTCCCCTCAGCAGTGTATTTCATCAGTCTGCCTGTGCTATTCCCCACTCTGTCTCTGGTGAATCCTCTCACCCTCCCGCACATCTGACCTGTACCCCGGTTCTTGTATAAATAAAATAAATCTTTAAAATAAATAAATAAATTAGAAATTAGAGCTGAAAATCCCCAAATTTGGCAAAAGAAATAGAACTACAGAATCAGGAAATTGTGAAACACACACATAATACATTTTGTAAAGTTCTTACCAAGACATAAAATCAAACTAAATATTAAGCCTTGAAAATGTCAAAACAACACTTTTTCTATAGGGGAAGGATTCCAGTGATGGTGGAGTTCTTATCCAAAACCATGAAAATCTGAAGAACTGCAGTGTTTTCCCCAGAATTCTATAAGTCAGCAAATACAGAATGCAGGGTTTAAACATAAAAGAGTAAATATATGTTTTATTTTTTTTTAAAAGAAATACCCTAACCAAGAACAAACTGGGGCACTGAGAAGTCAGTGCTTCCTCTGAAAGCCAATCAGTGCTGCACACCTCACAAGTACAGATGTTTCAGCACAAACATTGGGTCTCAAATATCCCTCTGTAGTCAGAGCTGATATTCAACAAGGTGTTGGGCTCTGTAGACTGTGATTATTGGCTTAGGCAATAGCACCACTAGTTTTCTGGCTGTCCTGTGTCCACTACCACAGCCCATCACCACCCCCACCACCTCAGAAAACTTACAGAGCAACTCTCCACTTAGGGGTAAGTCTCTCTACTGCCTTCTGATTGGCAAGACGGCAAAGCACTTCTGTTCACATCCATTGGATCTGTATACTCCATCCCAGCAGTATCCAGGCCAGGAGGAGGTGCTGTATTACTGAAACACAACTTATCTTCTTATTCTAATTCTCCTTGACCTTATTTTTCTTCATCAGGTGCTCTCCTTCCACAAAAAGGAAACAGAGGGCCAAGTCTTCTGATTCCCATCTGTCTGCCTTGGAAGAGTCCATGTCTCTGGGAAGAAGGCTGCACTCATATTCTGGGCCTGAAACTGGGTCATTTTTAACTGAAATGCAACAGGAACTCAAGAAACAAGACCATGAAACCATGGAATTGGAAGGTAAATTCCTATATGCTGAAACTGAATTTTGAGATAAGCCTGGTTTCAAGAGGAACTTGAAGCTGGAATAGTTAGAGCAAAGGAGAAAAGCACAGAAACTTGGAGAAAGATGAGCTGTATGCTAGTGGGGGAAAAGAGCTTGCCCAGAGCTTGCAGTAGTAACAAAATATGGAGGATGCTGTGAAGGAGATGGGATAGCCTCTGACCGCTTACACTGATGATGCAGATCTGCGTTGGATGCTGAGAGAACAAGAAAGAAAGCTGCACCCCATGGCCAACCATTTACTTATTTACAAAAGAACAATAATAAATGCATCACATATTAACAAAAATATCATATAGTTATAAAATAATACTTTATTAAAATATCTCATGATAAGATTAGTAACATTTTTGTAAAGTATTTCAATAAGTGGCTTAATGGAACACAACTGGCATCTCATAAAGTGGCTACATTGAGTTGCATAGGACATGTTTGACGTGTATGGAGAGAGTCTGGTTTCTCATAGATATATAGTTGGAAAGTACCTAGTATTTTAATAGATTTTCCAGAAAACTGTTTTTCTCTGATACAGCACTAAAATTCAACAACTAGTCTTTAAAACATCATCTGCAAATGTGGAATCTTAAACCTCACCAAGAAGTTTTGATATTTTGTTGCCTTAAAATCTCTTGTCCATTTCGTACTTTGAATGGATTAATTGCCTAGTCATGCTTTGGTAAGATCATGCACTGGTCATTTGGCAAACATAGTTCATTGACCAATACAAATCCTTCAAATGTTGACACATTTTATCAAATAATATAAAACGTATTAATTAGCATCATCACTGATCTCAAGAGAAAAATCTTTATTGGTAAGCTGCCAAGCCTGAAGTAGCAGATACAGTTTTTCCAAATTTCAGTTTTTGTTTTTCGTTTTATTTTTTCTTAAAATGTTAAACTTTGTTCATTTCCCAAAATGTGTCCCCTAATTACTAAAATCAACTTAGCCATAGGTTGCAAGTATTCTTTCAAGTAAAGATGATGTTTCATGTAAGAATGTGGGTGGTTTCACACCGTTGGAACAATTGCACACGTGCTTTTTCTTGGACAAGTGTGGCTCTTTGGTGTATGGCCTGAGTGTTCTGTGGCCCTTCCATTTTAAACATAGACCCAAAAGCTGACATGTCTTCAGAGTCAAGATACAATACAATTAAGAATTTTAAACAACAACAACAAATGAATTCTACAGTGTCAACAAGGCCATAAGTAAAGTTGGAATTTTTTTTTTAAGTGCATGACAGTGAAGAATGTAGTAGTTACTGTAACAGGGTGGTCCCCAGGAAGAGGGGACCAGGTTCTCCAGGTTCTCTGCCCAACCCAAGGGAGGGTGGAGCTGAGCAGGATGAAGGAGAAGCTGGAGAGGAGACCAGAGGAAGGAAAGAAAAGGATAGAGAGCAGGAAGGAGGTCTGAAGGAGGCACATGGAGCAGAGAGACAGGTGAAGAGACCCATGGGGAGGTTAACAGTGGCAGCTCTTATCTTGGTTTTGATTTTGTTCTTTTCCTCCCAGATTTTTCTGGCTTTTTCTGACAATTTTCTGTGGGCCCCCACCAAAAGGTGCCTTGGACTTGTGGCAGGCTTTCAGGCCTCAGTGACCCTGCTTTGGACCAACCCTGTTTGGCTGGACATTTACCCATGAGGGAATGGGTAACTTTGGGTGCTTGATTTGTAAAGTCTATTCTTACAATTTTCCGTATTGTACACTAATTGTATTAAAGTTCCTTTCCATTGAAGGTCTTAACTATAGTGTGTTTTGTCTTGATGCTGTGGATGGCAGAACCAATTTAAAGCAGGCAGGTCTGGGGGTTCTGGGGTGCCCCTCTCCCTGCCCTGTAACACTACTATTAAGTTGGTGTCACTACTTTGATTTTTTCAGTGTTATTTGGCAACATCAATACAAATGTGCATATAATGAAAAAGGTAAATAACATCTTATTTAACATCTTAACATCTTGAAAGTATTTGTGACCTGAGCAGTCCTGTTGAAGTGTGGCTAAGACGCTCGGTTGTCCACAGAGAACTCTGAGAATCTATAAGCAGCACAAGTGAACATATTTCCACTTCTGTGTCTCTTTCCTCCAACTGACTTCAGTAAACAGTGCTATCTTCCTTCATGTTTAGTTTGTGCTGTTAAATATGTGTAAACATCTATTAATCGATCTGCCAGCCTTCATTGATATCCTTTGACTCCAGAGATTACAGATGAGGTCATCAGGAACCCTCTCTCTCTCCAAACTTCCCTTTCCTTCCCCACAAATTTCCATTAGTTCCCTCATTTCTACATTGTCACAGGACAGACATGTACATTTGGCTCTGACACCCCAAACCCACTCTGTTTTAGCCTTAGATCTCATGTCCAATTTATTTGCCGGGATTTCCCTACTTGTCTCTTGCCTGGCTGAAGTTCAACCTATATTTATTTTCCCATTAAGTACTTACTCATGGAAACATAAGATATTTCCTGAGATTTTGTGTGAGTCTTTGAATGATAATTTGGCTATCTATTAACACCTTCAGATAAACTTTTTTTTCTTTTCTTTTTTCTTAAAAATTTATTTATTTATTTATACAAGCACTGGGTACAGTCAGAAGCGTGGGAGGGTGAGAGAATTCACCAGAGCCAGAGCGGGGAGCAGAGCAGGCAGACAGACGGAGGACACTGCTGAGGGGAGCAGCGGGCGGCAGGAGAGGTCTGCGCGCCATGTGGGACCCTCCCTGGCAGACTGGGGATCGAACCGGCACTGCAGAGGCTGCTGGCAGCTTCGCAGCCCAGCGCTCAACCGCTGCACCACTGGGGAGGCACAAACTTTCTTTTCTTGAGTAGCTTATGCCCACGGTACTTGTTATTCTGTGGTTAAATACTGCTGTTAGATAACATAAGGCGGCCCTGTTTCCCCCTTTACAGGTGACTTGATATTTTAACTTTGCTTCCTTAAGGGCCCTTTATTCATCTTTGAAGGCTAATAGTATTGAAAGCCTGCTCAGCTAATTGTTCTGTTTGATTTTGTCTGGTACTGCTCTCTCAATACATAAATTCACACCATTGTTTAATTAATTTTTTTTGATTATTAATTTAATTTTTTTGGTCCATTCCTTTCTATGTCCTCTTTGGATTTCAGCTATATGTATATATATATATATATATATATATATATATATATGAATTCCTTTATTTTGCTTCCTTTTTCTATCATTTCTCTCCAAAAATTTTATACTTTTCATTTCTTTAAGACAATTTTTTTTCCAGTTTCTATTCTCTGTATCCCATGCTGTGTTTTTTCATGAAGAACTTAGAAGAGACTCTATGACCTTTATTTTTAGGCCAAATGTGTACGATCTAGGAAAAAGCAATCAGTACTCAGTACTAAGTACTCAGGGACTGATATCCCAGGAAACTTGGGATAGAACAGATCTCCCAGGAAACTTGCTTTCTTGATGATAGTGAGAAATTTAATATCCAGGAACTTCAAGCAGATTTGCAGGTATCTCTTTCTGTTCCCAGTATCGATGTAACCATCAGTAGTGGTAACGTCCTTGCTGTTTCATTGTGTTTGAAACAGCATTTTGGCAGTTATCTTTGATTTGCAAATCCAACACTCAGTTGTGCATGAAACCCAAAGTCCTAGATTAATGACATAGATCCAAACGCTGATCTTCAACCCAGCTTACCTATCACAGGGCCAGTGTTTAGATCTGTCAAACTCGGTTCTTTCTGAATTTATCTGACTATGAGAAGTAAAATGAGAATTACACCTTTAAAGGAGAAAAATGTCCAGTGTAACTTCTTCCACCCAAGCCTCAGTTCTATCAGGTGTAAAATAGGATTTAATACATTTAGTGAATTAATGTGTGTCTAGCTCCTGTAGCAATCCTCACCGTGTAATGTTTACTGTACAAATATTGGCATCTCCCTTTTCTTCCCTACCAAATGTATACTATATGTTCTCTAAAAGAATGACAGACTGTTTAGGCCCAGCTATGGTTTCAGAAGTTGAGTTGTAAAACTTTTAAAAGAGATACTTGCTGAATCTATTATATTCAAGCACTATGCTAGATTCTTGGAATTCAGAGAGAAAATATGCCCTTTCAAAAATTCAAGATGAGTATATGTGAATAAGAAATGAAAAAATATGCAGAGTAATAAATATTTCACTGAGTTACAGCCAGAAAGTGGGGGCGGCAGGGAGGTGGGGGAAGAAGGGCATCTAACAGTCTGGAAGAGGTAGAGAAGGCATCCCAGAAAAGGTAGAATTTCAGCTCCGGAAGGAAAATATTGCAGAATGGCATGAGAGAGCTCAAGCTATTCAAATAACTAAGTAATTTACTATACTGGGGCAAAGTATGGCATAGGCAGTGTAGGAAGATGAGGCTGGCAAAGCAGGTAGAGGTGAGTTGCCAAGGGTCTCCCATGAGGCATTTAAGCTATTTCTACTCCATAAAGGCATGGAGGAGTGAGGAGGATTATAAGCAGTAAAGGAGAGTAAAACATTTTGGTATTTCTGAGTTTCACTCTGGTTGCAGTAGGACACAATGCATTAAAATTGGAGAAGAACAGGGCCTCCCCTGGTGGCCCAGCGGTTAAGTGCTGGGCTGCAAAGCTGCCCTCAGCCTCTGCAGTGCCGGTTCGATCCCCAGTCTGCCGGGGAGGGTCCCACATGGTGCACGACCTCTGCCGCCCGCTGCTCCCCTCAGCAGTGTACTTCGGTCCTTCTGCCTGTTCTGCTCCCCACTCTGGCTCTGGTGAATTCTCTCACCCTCCCGTGCTTCTGACTGTACCCAGTGCTTGAATGAATGAATGAATGAATAAATAAATAAATTAATTAATTAATCTTTTGAAAAAATAGGAGAAGAACAGAAGCTGGGGCAGTAAATATATATCTATTGAGAAGTCCAGTGAACAATACTGAGCTAATGAAGAACAGGAATGAATTTCTAATTTATTTAGGAAGAATATTTGACTAGTGAGTATTTAAATAGCTGATGAAGGAAGAAGAAAAAGTCAAATTACATCTAGTTTTCTGACAGAAAGAATACATTTAGTGTTTGGAATAATAAATGACTCAATTGATAATGAGAAAAAATGTTTTTTTGGAGAGTGATAATGGCATTTTAGAATTGGACATGATGCTAGTCTTCTTTTTGTTTTTCTAGGTAAGATTTTTAAAATTTTAAATAGACTTAATCTTACAGGTTGATGCATTTTATATACTATATATGCTATATAAATTTAAATTTATAGAAGATTTGCAAAGACAGAACAGAGTTCCCAGATACCCCATATTCAGTTTTCCCTATTAACATCTTACAGTATATGATACATGTGTCACACAATATTATAGATAATTTGGTGTAATTATTAATATTGTACATTACTCCTGATATATTATTGATAATGCAGTATCAACATTGATAAGTGATTAACTTAGATCCATACATTATTCAGATTTCCTTAGTTTTTACTTAGTTTTCTTTTTCTGTTTCCGAACTGTGTGTAGGACACCACATTACATTCAGATGTCATGTCTCTAGGCAACTCTTGGCTCTAGCAGTTTCTCAGATCTTTTTATTCTGTTTTTTTTTTTTTTTCCTTAAGGGTTTTCAGAAGTACTGACCAAGTATTTTGTAGAATGTGCCTCAAGTATTTTGTAGAATGTGCTTCTACTGGGGTTTGTTTGATGTTGTAGGTTTTTTTCCCATGATTTAACTGGGATGAAGATTTTTGGGGAAAACCACATAGGTAACGTGCCCCTCTCATAACTCCCATGGAGATGACAGGCTGTCAGTATGACTTCTCACAGTTGCTGTTGACTCTGGTCATCTGACTGTGATCATGCTTTTAAGTTTTCTCCACTCTAAAGTCTTTCTTAGATCCTGCTCTTTTTTGACACTACTCATTGGGAAGAAGTGACTATGCATGACCCACATTTAAGGATTGGGAAATTATGTTCCACCTCCTCGAGTTCAGAGTGTCTACAGACATCAAGTGGCAATTTTCTGCAAGACAGACTTGTCTTTTCTCCTCCATCTACTTATTAATTCATATCAGTATGATGCCTGGATTTTATTTTATTTTTTGATTCATAATCTAACACTAATTGCTCATATTGTTCCAGCTTTGGTCATTGGAAAACAGGTGCTAACTGACATAACTCTCTATTATTATTATTATTAGCTTTCTGGCACTATAAGTATCAACTAGATCTCCAAAGAACTCTGTTTTCATTTATAAGACAGCATGGAAATATATTTACACTTGCCCTTGGGTATACATATAGTCATAAATATTTCTAGATATGACATTCATGTATATCAAGCTAACAGGAGTCATCATCTAAACCATATGGATCATTCTGACTTTTCTCCCTGTTTGTAACCTCCCACTCCAACAGTGCTACACTTGATTCTGACCCTCCTCCATCTGTTTATTTAATTAATTGTTTAGTTCTATTTTTTGCATATGGTT